GCCAAGCCCTTGGTAAGAAGCAAGTTTGAATTCTGCAGATCACAAGCATGCTTGGTGGAGCCCCTTAACTAGCCCAAGCAGGGGAGATTGTTGAACTAGCCTTCCTAAGTTAGGTGGCTCAACAATGGAGATGCACCTTGGGTGCATTGATAATGGCAAAAACTTGGGAAGTACTGAAAATAAGTAGGTTGCTCGACATAGACTTGGTATTCTTGAAGAAAATGGGAAAACCAACGTAGACAACTCTAGTTTTTAACATGTTAACAAATTGGTTCTTTGTAGGACAGTTGTTACCATCCTTGTATCCAAAAACACCCATATTTATCATTAGTATAAAATGTATATGAGTGCAGAGGTGTGAGCGTGAGAAAAATAGAGAGAAAATAGTGAAGAAAAATAGAAAGTAAAGTTGAGAGCATTTCTCCCTTTAAGGTACTAGAGATTTGAGAGATTTGGATTTTGATCTAAACATTGTAATCGTACATCTCAGTAGTGGATTGATTTGCATTTGAGCAAACGCTCCGTGGTCTTTCTTGTTTGGGTTTTTCACGTAAAAAATCTTTGGTGTACTTTTTATTTCTCTTGTTTGATTTAATCTAATTATTGTGGTTGATTGAGTTTCTTAAGGGATTGATTCTGGGCATTGGTGCTTTAAAACCTCAACATCTTTTGCAACACCCATGGCCAAAAAGCTAGGTCTGCTTTGGTCACATGGCTTTTCTTCCTCTTCCTCACATTCACTCTTGGCCACGAGGTAAACTCTACACTTAAAAACCCTCCCATGTTATGAATTCCCTTAATTTGGCAACATATAGTGAAACAAGGTTCTAATTGTTCAATCAATGCAGGCATTAAAGCAAAGGCTTAATTCAGGAAGACCACTTCCTCTTGTCTGCACTGGTGAAAAGGTACGTGATCAATGATCATGTATCATCCTCATTGACCCCCTTTCGTTTCCCTTCTGTTGCTAATGAATTTTGGTTGAATTGTTTTTTAAAATTTCAGGGAGAAAATACAAATGCATACAAATATCAATAAACTTCAAGATACAAAGACATACGATGACCCTGATTGAAGTAAAAGGAGTCCACACTATGTAGGAAGTGTACAAGGGCCTACATGTTCATGATGTGGGTCAATCTGTAACTCATCAACACACCAAAGATTTTTCATCGTGGCATCCTCTCATTTCACAAAGCTTGTTCTCATCGCAACCGCAATTCTTCACTATTTTGGCTCCAAAATCCCTCCCTCTAAGCCACTACCCATTGGTCCAAATTATCATATATTTACTGGTCCATAAGGTGAGCTAGAACAATGAGGTACTTTAAAGAAAAGAAAAGAAAAGAAAAAAAAAAACAGTGTTTTTGTAGATATACATGACATTGAAATGCGAGTTCTAACTTTCTTTTGAGAGAAATGGTATAAATAAAAATGTCAATTTTATATTTTTTTTTATTTAAAGATATTAATTTAGTCAACTTTACACTTTTAATTTTTTTTATTTAAGGGTGGTAACTTTTAATTTTTTTATTTAAAGCTAACAACTTTAACATTTTAATTAAAAAAATTTGTTTATCTTATTAGTATTACCATTCAATTAATTCTTAAATAGAAAAAATTAAAAGTTAGTATTATTAAGTAAAAAATGTTAATAGTTGATATTTTTAAATAAAAAAATTAAAAATTAACATTATTATTTAAAAATTAATAAAATCGATATCCTTAAATAAAAAAAAATACAAAACTAACATTCTTATTTACACTTTTTCCCTTCTTTTGGATGTTTTTAGAATGAATTTGATAGCAAGTGCAACAAGGCCTAATCCTCAAGGTTCATTCCATTACGGGACAGTACCAATCGTCAGGACACTTCTTCTGGAAAACACAGCTGCTGAAACGAATTTGATATTTATAAAATAAATAAAAATGTTTTCTTTTGGCCGAATCACCATCATCATTTGATTAAAAAAAAATATAGAAGAGGAACAAAATGAAGAAAAAAAATTAAAGATAAGTGGATAACCGTTATTTTCTAGTTGTTGGTTGATATCTATTTTCTTTTAAAATTTACTGCAACGTGTCAACAAAACAGAAGCAGAGGTGGAAAAGAGTGCTTGTGGGCGTGTGCACTTAGCAATGCTTTATGGTGGGGACACCGAAGCATTTGATCTGATCAGAAATTCCAACTTCTGTTCTGACTTTTTTTTTAACAGTAAAAAATTGAGGTTTCAATGAACAATTAAAATAATAGTATAACTGCAACTTAAATCTTTGATAAAAATGTCAGAGTCATCAGTGCATTTCCATAGCTGATAAGCGCATTTCTGCCCTATCGCATTTCTGCCATTTCACAAACATAGTGCATTTCCAACGCTGATAAGTAGAATGAGCAAAAATTCATCCGATGCATCAATTCGATCCTAACTCAACTTATAAAAATGAGTTAAGATTTACATATTTTAACTCAAAATTCATAGATAATTTGTATTATCAACCCATATAAATTATAAGTTGAGTTAGGATTAACTCGCGGATTGATGGGTTAATCTGTTTGTTTTATTTATTATTATTATTTTTAAATATTATATTTATTATTCTTAATTAATTTTCTTATCGATAACTCATTTAATTAATTTATACTCCCTAATTTCTAGAGAAAGATGAAAAAATTATGATGAGTTTGATCAATTATCCAAATATTATTGTTTTTTTTTGTATTAAAAATTACCCAAATATCATGAATGAAATGATAATGCAACTAAAAAATATTAAAAGATTTGATGCTATGACATAAACATAATAACTTAGTAAAAGATGTTTTTGGAAGAGTAATTTTATCATTAAAAAAATGACTTAAACTATTTGATATTGTTTTAAGATGATTATAAAATTGAAATTTTATTTTCTAAGAAATTTAAATATTTTAT